CAGCTAGATAGGAAGCAGAAAGCGAGCCTCCTATAGTGAAATCTTGGAGAGACGCTGGAGACACACTTTGCAGGCATCAAATCACCGAGAAAAGGCATAACTTGACTCCTCCACACTCCAGCCGCGCAGAGAATCTCCACTTCACGTTAAACGGAGAACCGAGGAGGCCCCCGGGCCGCCAGTGGCCGGCGCCCATACGGCTTGGGAAGACGCGGACCAGGTGAGCTTGCGCGGTACCGCGGTTCCCCCACAGACAAGCCTGGCCAGAGCAGCATAGCCCCCTGGACAGACTGACCTCCACTCGGGAAAAAAAGAGAAACTGAGTACTAAGCAATAAGAACAAAGTTAAGACACGCTGGAAAGAGGGGGGGCGCCTGAGCGCTGAAGATTTGGGGGAAGTAATCCTTCCCGGGACTTAAAATAAACGAGCAGGCGGGCCGGAGAGGCTCTTGCGGGGAAGCGTGGTGCGCCAGCAAACCAGGAGCGGGGATGCTTGTTGAGAGGAGAAGACCCACTCCCACTCGTGAACTGTAAATAAAAACACGCAGGCCTGACAACGCAGGGGCAGTGTCGGTCCTTTCCAGTGCTTGGAAGGGGAAAAGCCTGGAGCAGGAGCCCGCCCCGTCCCCGCACAGCGAGAACTCTGAGAAACAAAAGCCTGTGGGACCAGGTGAGTGCTAAGGCTCACCCCAGAGATCTGCATAAATAACGCCTCCAGCTACAGGCTGAGAGCAGCAGGCAGGCAAGCCCACAGTTGCAGATACCACTCTCAGAACTGCCTCCAGACGCTTTTTTTTCTTTTTCTCCCTACCTTTGATGAGAGAAACAACCGAATCCCATGACCTGCGAGCAAAAACTTACTGAAACTGTATTGCATTTGAACTGGGGACACTTGGTGGGGCTTTTTTTTTTTTTTTGTTGTTGTGTTGTGAGGTGTTTTTGTTCTACTTTATGCATCCCCTTTGATGAGACAACTACAGAACAACATCTGGCACCAACTCCAGGACTGGAGATTGAGACGGACATCCAAATTATTAAGACTGAAATGCATTGCATATAAACTTGGAAGTTTTTGTTTTTTTTTTTTTTTTTAATTTTCTATTTTCCATTTTATTTTAATTCATTTTATATAGATATTACTTTCAATATACTTATTTTTTATTTTTTTATCTTTGATTTCAATCCTCTTCTGTCTCTCTAATTGTCTGTTCAGCTTACTGTCGATTAGTACACTAACACTCCCTGTTTATACCTTTGAAACTCTTGTCTGATACCTTGTTCTGCTTTCTCCCTCTTGTCTGTATATTTGTTTCCCCTTTTCTTTAACTTCTTGCTTTCCATCTCAGCTCACTCTTCCATTCTCATTACCATTGTTTTATTACAAGCTAGAAAAATACTTAATTACACACAGTACAGGGACAGTAACAACACCAAGGACAATGACAGGAAGACAGAAAAAACAAGGAAACCAGTTTCCCCACAGCAAAAAATTAGTACAGGAACCAGAGGGAATGAAGAGAACAGAAACTCAGAGCCAGACTCCAACAAAATGAAGATAAACTATGCCAAAGGACCCAATGAAGCCTACAAGAATAATTTAAAAGAAGACATACTACAAGTACTCAATGAGAATTTTATAGAGATGATACTGGATAGGGTCAACCAAAATGTACAGGAGACACTCAAGAAATTCCAAGACAATAAAAATAGAGAATTTGAAAAAGCAAAAAGAAAAATAAAGGAAACCATAGAAGCACTGTATAAACACCAAAGTGAAAGAGAGAACACAATGAATAAATGGATAAATGAACTCAGGACAAAAATAGACAACAATTAAAGAAGAAAACAGCCAGGATATGGAAAACCTCAGAAAAAAGAACGAAACAGAACTGCAAAACAAAACGGAAGGCCAATCCAGCAAATAGAACAAACAGAAGACAGAATCTCAGAACTTGAAGATGAAATGGTAATTAAAGGAAAAACGAAGAACTATAATTAAACAACTCAAGACCTGTGAAAAGAAAATGCAAGAACTCACTGACTCCATCAAAAGACCAAACTTGAGAATCATGGCATCGAAGAAGGAGAAGAGGTGCAAGCGAAGGGAATGCGTAATATATTCAACAAAATAATAACGGAAAATTTCCCAAATCTAGAGAAAGATATTCCCATACAAATGCAAGAGGCCTCCAGGACACCAAAACAGACCAGATCAAAATAGAACTACTCCACGACATATCATCATTAAAACAACAAGTTCAGAAACTAAGGAAAGAATATTGAAGGCTGAAAGAGAAAAAAACAAGTAACATACAAGGTAAACCCATCAAAATCACAGCAGACTTCTCAACAGAAACATTAAAAGCAAGAAGAGCGTGGGGTGAGATCTTCGGGCACTGAATGAAATAACTTCAACCCCAGATACTCTACCCAGCAAAGCTATCATTCAAAATAGATGAGCAATAAAAGTCTTCCATGATAAGCAGAAACTAAAACAATATGTGACCACAAAGCCACCATTACAAAAGATTCTGCAAGGATTCCTGCACACAGAAAAGTGACACCCAAACTTAACCATGAAAAGGCAGGCAGCACCAAACCACAGATAAGAAAAAGCAAGACATAGAGAGTAACATCAAGTTAGGTACACACAATCAAACCTTCAAACAACTAAGACAACTAAATGGCAGGAATCACCACATACCTATCAGTACTAAACTTAATGTTAATGGACTTAATTCACCCATCAAAAGACACCGTTTGACAAAATGGATTAAAAAAGAAGATCCAACAATTTGTTGCTTACAGGAGACTCATCTCACCGACAGAAATAAGCATATGCTTAGGATGAAAGGCTGGAAGAAGATTACCAAGCCAATGGCCCCCGAAAACAGCAGGAGTAGCAATACTTATCTCTGACAAAGTAGACTTCAAACCTACATTGATCAAACGAGTAAAGAAGACATTCCATACTATAAAAGGGGAAATAGACCAAAAGAAATAATAATCATCAATCTGTACGCACCCAATGTCAACGCACCCAATTTCATCAAACATACCCTGAAAGACCTAAAAGCATATAATAACGCCACACAGTGGTTGTGGAGACTTTAACACTCCATTTATCATCAATAGATAGGTCATCCAACAAAAAACTCAATAAAGAAATCCAAGATCTAAAAATATGCAATAGATCAATGGACCTAGTAGATGTCTACAGAACATTTCATCCACCTCTACACATATACATTCTTTCAGCAGCCCATGGAACCTCTCCAAAATAGATCAATATCCTAAGGACAGCAAGCTCAGCAGAATACTAAGAAATAGAAATAGGCGGCGGTGCAGCAGGACGGGCGCGGCGGCAGTGGAATCCTTCAACACGGAGACGAGTGTACGTCTGTCCGCTCCTCCCAGAAATGGCCAAGGTTGCTTTATAACAGAGTTAACACTGGTTTCCCTATCTCCCAGGATTTTGCCTTTAGTTAAAAAGAGTTGTCAGTCCAAAAGCCCTTTTTGACTCAGGGATCTTCAGTTCCGATGAATCTCCTCGTGGCTTTACATTCAACTCAATATAATGCTTCATCGAAACAGTGTGGCCTGACGAAACTTTGGGACCATTGACCTCAGGTCAGAGATCCAGCTTCCTGGGAACATTGTTTGGCATTGTCACCTCGGGACTGCTTGCCAAGAAGAAAAACCAGATTCATAAAACTTTGCCTGATTTCTAGACAGACCTTTATCAGCTGAAAGACATGATTTTGATGGCACACTATATAATGTGAAGTCAGGGTAATGAAAACACCTGTTGAACCAAGAACATTAACGTGCAGAAACTTATTTGAACGTGCCAGAGTTGAGTTGTGCAATCCAAATATGTCCAGAATGAGCTACGAAAGAGATTTGATCATTTATTTCCTGAAGTGGGCTCATAGCAAATAATGATCTAACCTGTAACACAGAAACTGAGATGATATGACTGTTGGAGTGAGAAGTAGAAACTGTAAAGAGAAAAATGCTTTGAAAAGTTCATTATGTCTAAGAAATTCTGCTATGCCCTGCGAGCTGAGAAGGCATTGGGCTTTGACTTTATTAGATCCAATCATAATCTGGAGTGCATTTTTTGGACACTTATATACAACAGCACTTCTGTTTTGAAACAATGAACGCTACCAGACATTTGGATTCTCTGTTGATGATCTTGGATGCTGTAAGTTT